TAGACAAAATGCAACCACATGTACAATATCAAACTGTGCAAACCTGCCAGAGTGAGGCACGGTGAGGAAAGTTCAAGTAAATGGATGGGCTTGTTATCGTAACTTGAATTGGGAATGACAGGGTTCAGTTATTGTAGTACAGTAATCCAGAAAATTACTTTTACGTTTTGGAAATGGACAACTCAAAGGTGAAAAAAAGGATCCAGATATCAAAAAATGTTGGTTTTAATACATAGAGACTGGTTCTTACATAAATTTCCTAACATTGTCAGTTCTTGCGAGTTCTCCAGCTCATAAGAGCCATTTTTCTGATGCAGAAATAATTTTATTACCATATGGATCTGTCATGAGTACTTCAAATATTGGCTGAGGCAGCCTTTCCAAAGTTTCTGTTGAAATCTAGGTGATATAAAAGATTCATTGTGGCAAAACACCACCTACTCTGACAATGGGAAATAGAGTCAGAAGGTCCCACACTACATTCTGAATTCTGCAAGGACAAAGGTGACACTTTTGGAGAAAGGAAGAAACTCCAGAGGCTCACAACCTGATTGCAATCTGATAATTGTGAATATGTCGAGAGCAAGGTGGCCCTAGTTTATATGGTGCTCACATTGAATGAGCCTGTTGACCCAACTGGCAAGGGACTTTTTAAAAAGTGGTAGATGTCAGGTGCACTATGAATCTGTGATGGGTGAACTAGGTACAGCAGGAAAGGAGCAAGATTTGGAGGAAAGTAGAAAGGAGCTGTTCTGTAACTGCTTAAATGAGAAAGACAACTTCTCATTGTAGATTATTATCTTGCAAGCATTTCCAGGAAGGGAACAGAAACATAAAATACTGCTAACCTCCAGAGTATCTTTGTATATCACACACTGTGTCATCATCTCGTGATAAAGGGACTCTTGAATGTAATTAACCATTATTCCCAGAATGCACTCGCCCTGGAAAGCTTTTTCAGAAAAAAAAATCCGACAACAATAAAGAAGTAGAATTGGCAAGGGTTAGAATCTTGAAATATATGAATATTTTGCACATTTTATAGTGCCTTCATACTTTGTCTCTCTTCATGGTTCAAGTCGGAGGGTGGAGTCTTTTGCAGCTCAGAAGGGGGCCATTCAGCCCATCATATCCCTGCTGGTGTTCCTCAGAACAACCTAGTCAGTTCCATTCCCGTGCTCGCTGCTCATATCCCTATAGGTTAATTTCCTTCACGCGCCCTTTCAATTTCCTTTTGAAATTGTTCATTGTTTTTGCTTCCACCACCCTCATGGGCAGAGTGTTCCAAGCTCATTACCATTGGCTGAATAAATAGTTTTCCTCATGATCCCTCCTGAATCTCTTACCTTTTGAATAATTTCTCCGGCACTTTGTATAGTTAAAGTTTAACTGTTAAGTTGAAACACTTCCTTTCACAAAGCAAATTGACCATTTATTTGTATGATGTCTAAACTTCCTATTTTAAATGAATGCTTTTTTTACCGCCCCTTTGAAATGCTGTTTTATCAGGTACACATGAAAGCTGTAAAATATGATTTGCTGTCAAATCACACCTGCATTGCTGAGTGTGGTTTGTCTGCAAAGCCAACCCTTTTTTAAAAAAAAATTAAATAGTTTCAGACCCCGGGAGTTCAGAAATTTCAGCTGACTTTTACTGTCACTAGCTTGAGCACCTTTATCCCCAGGCGAACAGCAGCAGCTGGAATTTATTTCCTGCTGCCAGACAGTTCAACTGCTTTATGATACATCCAGAAATTCACTTTCTTTAATATTCGAACCTTTTATTCAAGGTGACAGCTGCTCACACGTTGCTGTACAGAGCACCTCAAGTAGCAAGAGTTTTCAGAAAAAATGAGTATCCCATTGTTACGAGCTCACAATGTAGAATGACTGAGGTTATCCCTAGGCCTCTGAGCCCCAACCTCCCTGACAGAACAACTGCTGGTAACATAAAACTTGACTACAGTTTGTAATGATGTCTGGGGAAAACGAGGCGGAGGAGCAGCAGAGACTACTGCAAGTGATAGGCGATGATGTCAGATTCAGTTAGGAGTGCCGACACTGTTCGAATAGGGTTGGCACTAATATCGTACCAGTATCTTTCTCCTCATCTCTGTTTTCTGTCACTGCTCACAATTCTAGGCCTGTCTCCACAACTGACAATGTCTTTTCAGATCACGTTATTGCCAGCACAGAGTGCACTCAGCACATCATCACTCAGCTCCTTTGTTTGAAGCCTGGTCTTTTGTCATTAATGCACTTGATATCTATTTAAAACTGACGGAGAATATGGGATCTGTTTTCCTGTCTTGAGATCATTGACAATATTAATACCACATGTCCTTGCTTCATATTCTAAGCGCTGACACCTAGCTGCAGTCTCTTGCATTCATCAAGTGGCTCTTTCACCAGGATGTCTGCTAACAGTCCTGTTTCTAATCCGTCAGTAACACCAGCAGATTGCAATCACTGACTGTTAGCATAGCCTACAAAAACATGTTCTTAACAAGTCACTTCATTTATTTAATTTTGATGACGGGGTGAGAAGGTTGGTGGGCTGGAGAAGAGCATGATAAATCTAGCGTGTAAAGGGCAGAAGCCAACATTGTTTCTGGAAAGAACTGATCGTGTAGCCTGGAGACATCAAGTGTTAAACATTGGCCAGATATTCCTGCAGTTGAGAGTTTGTATCCCATTCAAATCATGCAGCCTCTGTCAGCGTCTGTGCTTCGAGGTAATGAATAGGATTGCTCCATCTGAAACTGCCAGTCTGGCTGACATTCTGGGTCATAGTTCAAATGGCAAGAGCCCACTCTTTACTTACTGTCATTCTGAGAGTTTGGCCAGTAACTTTGTTGAGTGCAACGGCTGTTATCAGTACAGTTGGGGACCTTGATCCATTTTCTTGCCTACAATTTCATGTGTGGAAGGAGCAAAGAGTAGAGTCAAACCTGCCTCCAAATTGTTAACAAAAACATACCTTGCAATTTCTTTATGTAATGAATCAATAAATGTTAACAAGTTGAGGCTGAACAAAAGACATGGGCATGTGTAATGAAACAATCAAAAGACATTACATTGCACAAAATTATTCTGTTTCAAGTGCAACATTTGGGTGTCATATGAATAATACTGTCAAAATCACTTGTGCAGTTGATACATCATGTCATATTGGCCCTGTTTCTTCTTGAGATCACTATGATGGCACAAAACATCTCTCAAAATGTCATTTTCCTCACATAGTCCTCTTTCAAAGATGCCATTTCGCTCCTTGGTGCAGTTTAATTGTCACTTCTCTCCATGAGGCCATTCTGGAAATCTTCATGGTGATGATCTTCTCCTGAGATCAGCTCTTCCCAGCAGCTAGGGGGCAAAAGATTGATAGACATATTCCATCACTGCTTAAAAAAAACATTCAAATTGACTGGAAATGAAAAAAAAATCAAGTTTTATGAAACATTACAATATATTGTAATTAAAGATAAAAATTTCACTTGAAATCCTTCAGGCCCTTGAGCGATAGCTGCCTCCCTCATGTTAAGGAGCATTTGATAAGAGGTTGTTTATTCTTCTCTCTCTCTTAATGAATTATTCTGCAACTTCTTATCTTGATGTCAAAAAGAATGTATCCCAGTGTGAAAAGAGGACATACTGTGGCACTTGGTTTGTAGCTAAAATAATCATAAGTGATGTCAGATGTGTGCTTGTTGAGCCATGACAGCTGACTCACTGCAGTTCTTGTCCATGAGCCAGCAGGCCCCAACGCACATTATGTTTATACTGCACAATGAACTATTTGTACAAGTTGAATTTTTCAGGTGAAAACAATGTGATTGCTTCATCTTGTGTTGAGGTTGTGGCTGTACACTTTTTTTGAAAAAATCAGGTTGCCGTACTATGATATCAAGCTAAGTTGATTCAAGAAATTCATCATGAATTTCTTTCCAAAGTCAAAAAGAATTGTCTGTAGCACACATAGTTGGTCTTAGATGAGGTGTTACAATTGGCATCACAACTTCTGGATGGAGAAAAGGAAAATCAATCAAAGTCTTTTCTGTAGGTCACTGGAATGTATGTGTGTAGATGCTGAATGGGCCAGGATAGACCTTGACTATGGCACTTCCACAGCCAATAAGGCCTATTAGCACAATATTGAGGCTCAACTGAATAATGGTCACATTGGTGAGGTGCCAATAGAAGACAGAAAACTGTATTATATAGCTGAGCTTTTTTGATTTCACTTATGCAACTTTACTTTGTGCTCATTGTAATAATGATATACTGATGTTTTATTTCTTCCTGATTAAGTGCTGCCACCACCCCTCCTCACATTCAGATGTAATTCAAAATTGCATCTGGTCAGTGCTCCATGTCACTGATAAACTTTAAATTGAAAGTGATCTTTCCAAAGTCCACCAGTTTATTTCTGTGTCCAATTCCAGCATTCTGCCCTTCTGATTGCTTAATTTTGTTGCATTTATACCTGGCAGACTTGCATCCAGGAAGGTTAATTGAGGCGGCTCAACTGATTTGCATTTTGTAAATGAAATAAGCATCAGAAAAATGTCTTTTCATCTCATCTGAGTCAAAAAGGAATGTTCTAAGCCTCAGTGTCGCCCAGTTGCCTGACCATCAGATTTTATCTACTTGCACTGTTCCTTGAGATAACCTTATCTAAAAGTGTTGTGTCTTTCTATGGTCCAGTGTGACAGGCCAGCTAATTGAAGTGCTTAGCGTGTCAGAGGGAACAACTTTATTCTCAGCTTAACCACAAAATGATAAAATCTGTTTTGGGATGGTGTTTTCACCTTCAAAGGAGCCTCTTTACCTGCCTCAGTGATTATCTTTATTTTCGTTTTGTGACTCATTGATAGTACAGATTCTGGGTTTTTATAAAGATGTGTACAGTTAAATGGATGTCCTAGAAAAGGAAAATATTTGCTTTCTTTTTAAACAAAAATGAAAAGACAATTTATTGATTTTTTTTTTCTTGTTTGTAGGTGTTTTTGCAAAGTGTCGCTATGTATATCATGGAAGGCACTCGGAGGGGAACAGATTCATCCGTGATGACCAGCTTTAAGAACAGTTCTGCCACACTGCCTGCTTTCACTGCTATACAAGATATATGCACACATTGTATTTAAAGCCAAAGACTTATCCAAATACAAAGAAACACAGAGAATACATCCTTAGCCTGCTAGTGTCTTCTGCTCACTTTGCCATGCCTGTCAAGATCAACCTTTCAGTCTAGTCTGAGCAGGCACATAGAGATTGACATGATTGCCTTTAAGCAGGTCCCTTCTATCGCCATGACAGACAGCTGCACTGAGGCTGTATGCCTGACAGGATGAGCCTCATGATGGATTGCCTGGTACAACTGCTGCTCGTGGGAGGGCAGAGGTCACACCTGAGGTTGAACTGAGCATGCCTATTGCATCACACCAAGTTCCAGAAAGTCACATTAAACCCTTACTGCACTCATTACAATGACTTGTTGTTGAGTAATGAGAAAATTTTGTTCCATTTTATAGATGGCCATGGACAAGATGAAATGAATAGTCATATTAAACCGTAAATCCCATTGACTGACCAACATTATTTCAGGGACTTTATCTTGATTTATCTTTTGCCTTATGGGTCTTATTTTGAGGTTAGGAAGATTAAATATCAGCTCCATTAGATGAGATTCTCTTTTTAACTTTGATCAGTGATGGTTCACGAACAAAATTGACAACTCTAGCTAGCTGAATAGATTGTACTTATATTTCTGTGTGGCTTTGACTTTTGATGTATTGAAAACAAGTCTCCCTTTCCCACAACTTTTTTTCTTAGCAGCAGATCATTTCCGAACCATTTTTTTTAATTTTACACTTGCTGTCTTGTACTGAATTTGAGTGGGATTTGCAATTTACTACTGTTGTAAAGGATAGAGAATTTATTTTGGTAGAGGGAGGTCATCCTTTTCTGTGTTATAACCCATTCAGTTTGGATTAGATGTTTTTGCAAAAGACTTCAGTTATTTTTGGTGCAACCGATGCAGCAACTAGATAATCTGACAACATTAAATGCTCATGTTTTCTACAAAATATGCCATTATATTTGGATACTCTTGTTCAGCACTGAATTTAATAGTGTTTTGCTATGTTTATACTGTATGATGTTTGGTTTTTCTACAAGGATAAATTTTTATATTTTATGTAGTGACCAAGCATTTCAATGTACACGTTTTTCTACAAAGTACAGCATTGTGGTTTTGTCATATTCGTTGCAGTAACTAAACATTTGGAAGCAAATTTTTTGTACATAACTTTTCTGCGTTCTTATTTAAATACTGACAATGTTCCAAAAATCTCGAGTTTGCAGTTTTTCAGTGGATCCATTGGAAACATTGAACAGTGATGAGCAAAATTTATAATAAAGCAGATAGCCAGTCTAAACAGTATGCAATTATTTCAAGTTCTATTTACACATGCTAAGAATATTATGTTACTTTGTTTGGATTTAAAAACTAACAAAGTAATTTCTTATATTATTAATCTGTGCCTGACACACATTGCAGTAACTTACATTCCCACTTTTTGCAAAGCATACTTAAAGCAGTTTGTTATTTAGCTCTGATAATTGTTTGCTTTCTTATCAAAATAAAAGCATTCACTGAATTGTTCAATTCTTCTTGGTCTGGTGAAGGCAGTTTCTTAGCTGTGCTTGAGCTTCCAATAGAGTGTATCTACAAACCTCACTATGGGTGCACGATTGCAAAATGTAGCATCTCCCCCACAAACTCTTGGATTGCTGCTCTAAAAGAGAAATCCCCATCTATTTTAGATATACAAAATAAAGAAGTAATTCATGGTGACTCACATTTTCTTCCACAGTATTTTTGATAATAACTGTAAGAAGTTCACTTTTAAGTCTGAGCCCAAATTGATTTAATTTCAGCCAAATGTGAATTTTTTTGATGTTGATTTCATTCAGATTACGTCAGCCTTTTAACTATTACACTCCCCAGTACCTCATTACTCACTTCCCATTGGTGCATTCCCCAACCAATATGAGTTGCACAGCTTGGAAAAAGAGGTAACTGAGACTCAGCACTTTCCCACAGAGATGTGGTGGCAAGGTCTCCCATTCTATCCCGTGTGCAATTCTTAAAACCCAACAGATAATACAGAACCAGGTATTTTCTAGCAAGGATGGACAGGGAAAGGAAAACTGGTTACATCTGGAAGAACTGCTTCACACAAGTATGATTAGCACATGAGAGACACAATTCTCATATCTATTGAAGTTGAAATTTAGTGATGTGAGGGAAATTGGAACCTTCAATTGCAATGGGAAGAGTGGCCTCTGTGAATCACCTCAAGTTACCATCACAAATTCACTAGAACCCCTACAGTGCAGAATAAGGCCATTCTACCTGAGTCTGTACTAACCCTCTGAAGGGCATCCCACCCAGACCTAACCCCATTACCCTGCATTTCCCATTGCTAACCCACCTAGCCAGCACATCCCTGGATACTACATGGCAATTTAGCATGGCTAATCCACCTAATGTGCACATCTTTGGACTGTGGGAGGAAACCAGAGCACTTGGCAGAACCCCATGCAGACATGGGAAGAACATGCAAACTCCACACACAGTCACCCAAGGTTGAAATTGAACCCAGGTCGCTGGTGCTGTGAGGCAGAAATGCTATCCACTGAGCCACCGTGCCGTCCAACTAACAGTAAGCATTTATAGGGAGGCATTCACCTAAGAGTTTGGTTAGCTGCACATCTTGGTAACTTTAAGGCAAAGGTGAAGAATGAGAGAAGAGAATCACTAAATGACTTTTTGGCTTAAAACTGTTTGGCTCCATCACCTAATTGAGACTGGCAGCCTTTTATTCTATGCATGGGGTTAGTTGATGATGAAGGTGATGCAAAAAATCATTAACGTTCTTTCACTATCCTAGTGCATTTCCTCTGCAAATGGCAGGCACAGAAATTACAGATTCATTCCAAAAGATTGGGGCCAATGTGTCATCTAAGCATTAGCCTTTATTATGCACATTTGCTATTGGCTTATGCAAAATTCATTTTCTTGAAGAAGTTGCTTACAAAAAAAATCATTGTTTTCTTGCATGTTTTGAGAAATCTCCTGGCAATAATGAACGAGAATGTTTCCATTTATTTTCCATCCATTTATTGTGTTAGCATGCCAGGCCTAATTTTAGCCTGAGGCAATGCATCTAAGTAAAGTATTGCCATTGAGTTCAGTATGTTTGGTGAACAAAATAGTACAGGAAATGTGCAATTAGATTTTCCTTTCATATGGATTTGGGTTTCTTAAACAATGCAATACAGGCACTCACTCGCTCCCACCTATGGCTAAATATGGGATGGCATTCAGCCATTAAGATAAGAAAGATATCACGAGTTTGATGCCTGGTCTGTGTTTAGTTAGTGAACTCAGCTGAAGGCAGTTATATAGCTTCCATTTCCTTGGAGTGAGAAGTGGTAAAGTTGGCCAAGTGCTGCTCATAATAATTTTCCAATAATGTGTACGGGCAGCATACTATCATTGACTTCAGGTGAAACAGGATTGGGCTCTGATGGGAGTTTCCACAACTGTCCCAGTCTGCCCAGTTCAATATGCGCCAACACTTGACTTGCAGACAAACAATCAGCACTTAGGCCAGGATGGACTCTGCTGATACCTCCCATACAGCTGTGGACAATCTGCATCAGACTTGAACAGAAGCACACATGAGGGAAGAAAATCAAAGGAAAAATTAAAAGAGCGAGAGAGAAAAAAAAATCAGAACTGGATCTAATAAATTATAAGAGATAGTAGGAACTGCAGATGCTGGAGAATCTGAGATAACAAGGTGTAGAGCTGGATGAACACAGCAGGCCAAGCAGCACCAGAGGA